AATAATAATAATAAATAACGTCTTAAAAATAAGGCGAATCATTATCATCGTTACACGAAAACTTCGTTTTGCATACTTCGGGAATTCTCTCATTAGTTATATAGTTTAAGCTGCTTTTCAAGAACAACGTTTATTTCCTTCAAAATGTTAATCAAATAACTATTCAAATGGCTAAAGCTGATTATTTTTCAGAAAAAAAAAGGAAAATTCAGAACAATTATCGAGAAGAAAAAAAGTTTGAGAGGAAATTTGAGGGAAGAGAAAAGATTTTTCCGACGATAAAATCAAACTAAATTGATTTCATCAAATTTTCTTTAAATACACCAGTCGATATTTGTTTGTTATTTTCAGTTTTTCTTTTTTTCCACTGAAAAAATTTTTTGTCAAAATTTAAAAATTATTTAAGCGAAAAGTTATCTAAGGATGCAGCAAAAAATTTAACTTTCCATAACCAACAAAAAAAACAATTTTATCTGAAATTTAAAAATTTAAGTTTTTTTTTCTTCAAAAACTTTTTCGATCACCGAAAAGAAAACAGAGAATGAGAGAGAAAAAAAAGAGGGATCGAATATATCTCTATATTACCGTTATTGGTGAAAGTGTTGAAATTCAATTAGATCGATAAAATTTTTCAACAATTATTTAAGAAATGTTCATTGATCCTTTACAAAATCTATGCTTATCTACTATCCTCTTCTTATTTACAAAATTAAATTGTTAATCGCTATCCTCTCACCGTTTCTTTCAATTTTTTTTTCTATCTCTTTTACTCTGTTTCGCTTTTTCATTGCTTTTTTTTTTTAAATGTGCTAAAAAAAGCAGTTAGAATCATTTTGCAAGACAAAATGCGACCTTGAAATTAAATTTTTTTTCTTCATCTAACCATTACTTCGTAATGATTTAAATTATTCAATAATTTCTACGAGTAACACACGCACTTCACGTAATCAATTTGACGTAATTCTGATTGCACGCTGCTGAAAAAATGTAAATTAATGATGAAGACAGTGAGTAGAACTTGTATGGTTTTAACTTAATAATAACGTGGAAAAGGAAAGAATTTTTTTTACACTTTTCAGTAACATATACATATTTTGCTCGCAGAATATGTCACGTTTTAAAGTAATTACTTCAACGTATTCGAAGTTAATATTTTTACGACGAAAAAAATTGAACGGAATACGTGAAATCTGTAAAATCCACGTGAAATTTGTACAATATGTGACATTTTTAAACATTACTTCATCCATCCTTATTTTGCATAGTTTAGATTCAAATACTCATTCGATCAAATTTGAATAGCATAACTATTTTAATTACCAATAAAAATAATGAATTTCAAAGAGAATTAACTTTTGGTACGAAGGTAACAAATAATTACCATTTAAATGAATGGTGTTATGAATTAATTGGAAATGATTAGAAATGACTAAAAGAGAAGGGAAAGGGTGATGACAGCAATGAATTAGCCAAAGATGGTCGAATCGATTGGAGAAATTAAGGTCAAGGTGAATAAGTCTTTTTAGTCATCATTTATAACAAATTTACAAATTAAAAAGAAAAAAAAGATTGAAGTAATACACAAAGAAAAATCACATATAAATATATCTAAGTGATAACGAATTATCATTTGTTATCAGCAAATCCATCATAATAAGTTAATAGATTAGTGCAGGTAAGTTTTTGGAAAAAATATACATATATAACATATGTGGTTGTATGATAGTCATTTATCATTGAATGTAACCGATGGTGGAAATTATCACATATAAGTACCTATAGATAAATGTATTTTTTTTTTGTTTTATTTTCACGTGAACATACACACACACACACACACACACGCATATACACACAGACACATAAGCACATAAACTTTCATTTTCAATAATCAGGTTTGTTTATTATCAACTAATCAGTACGAAAGATTCCAGTTACTGATAACAGATGACGATATTACCGCCACATGTTATCATTTCACCTTTTTTTTGTTTCTTTTTTATCCATATTTGATCATTATTTAATTAATATTCAATGTAAATTGATATTCAGTATAGCATAATATAGGTGTGAAGTTTTGATGTAAATTATCATTGAATTTATCAGATGATGGAAATTATCACATATGAAATTACCAATTATCACATATGGTTTGGAAAGCAAAATTATCTGTCATTTTATGATTTTATTTTCTTCCATTTAAAAATAATATAACAAACTCTGAAGGAGTTTGTTTCACTTTTAATTTGTTTTAGTGTTTACAACTATTATTAATAACAACAAATGGTCAGAAAACACGAAGTGATAAATTTTCAATTTCTTTCTGATCCTTTTAAATTGACAAAATTTGATATTTAATTGTTTACAAATTTTTGAAGATATTTTTTCTAATTTTAGAGTTTTCTGATGTTAACAAATCATTACTTAAGCATTGCCATTTTCATTTATTTGTTATTTTCATCATTCTTTTCAATTTCAAGAGAGAAAGTGAGGGAGAGAAAGAGAATGGGAGAAAGAGAGAGAGAGGGAGAAAGGGAGGAGAAAGGAATAAACCAAACTGTTTAAATTTCAACATTTCCATTAAAATTTAATTTTTTTAAAAATCTTTTCATCTTATTATTTTGCCAGACCACCTATGATAACATAATGATAATGATGATATATGACAACAATATATTCAAAATATAATATCTTTAATAAATGAGATATATGACGGGATATATTTAAGTCAATTTATTCCTCTAATTCGGTTATTAACTTCCATTTAATTTTTAGTCCGTTTATTGATAATATTAAATGGATGAAATAAAAGGATAATAGATTGTGGAAACGCTTTTTATGAGTCAGATTCAAAGGAGACAAAAGGAATGTTAATTTTATCCCAGATTATCTCAATCTCTCGTTTTTTTTTTTTTTAGTTGTTGTACTGACTAAGGAAACTAGTTAGTTTTACTATTTGAGATTTAAACTTTGAATTGTCAAAAAGAACAGGAACAAGAAAAAAGAAGGATTGAATGAATAATTACGAAATATTTGAAATGTCATTTTCAATTCACTAATCGTTTTCTTTTAATTAATTTGAAATTGAGAAGTAATGCAAAACTTATTTTCGCCTCTTATTGCTCCTAATCGCTTCATTAATTTCGAACCATCACAAGCAGAAATATATTGCAATGACAAATGCTTTTTAATACAAAAAAGGAATTGCTAAGATTTTATCGTTAATGAATTTCATTTCTGTTAATGTTAAAAAATTTTACTCGCCAAATATAAGCAGTTATTCTATTCTATTTGAAAACAGAAATTTGATTAAATTTAATTGATATAGTTATTTACTATATTCGTGTGTATACATATAAATCGATAACAATATATTACTGGTATAAGATTACTGCAAATTACTTTGGTATGATTCATTCCAAATCAGAAATTTGATTAAAATTTCAATTTTGAAAAACAATAATTTCGAAAAGGAATAAATGGTTGTTACTGTACCAATGCCATAGTGCATGGATAATTGTGTTCGTACAGTAAAGTAAACAAAAAATTTGAATTGAAGTGGAATAATGCTTCTGTTAAGCACATACAGTACTGTTTATATTATATTGAGTTATTTACATAAATGATACTATAATTGTTTACATATACTATATTATTTGCATGTTTTATATTTTTTACTTTATCAATAATTCACCAACCATTATGTACATTAGAATGATTCATTTCTTGAAATTAAAAGTTAGCAACAATAACAGTCACGAAAAAAATCCAGTAAATAATAATGATTAATAATAAATTAATAATAATTAAATAACAATTAAGAATAATAATTAGTAATAATAATGATAATAATAATAATAATAATAATAATAATAATAATAATAATAATGATAATAATAATAATAATAATAA